CCTCACCCTCACCCTCACCCTCCTGCCGCCGCGGGGACCATGGCCGCGCAGCCCGGTGCCGGTGAGTGCTGCCCGCTCCGCGCTGCCCCGCGCGCCCTCCGTGCATCCCGCACGTGGGGATCCCGGGGCATTGCCTTTGGTGGGGAGGGGTGCACCTATGCTTTATTATCCTTATAATTATATATTAATTGCCTGTAATGATTGTCATTGAGGAAAGTGCGGTGGAAGGGAGCCCAGTGCAGTGTCTGCTGTTTGCTCCAGGAAAAGGATGTGGCTTGAAAATTGCAGAGCTCCAGCCTTCCCTCGCTGGCTTTCTGCCCTGGCCTTACCTTCACCTGCCCGGGCCTCTTGGCCTGCTGTGTGCCATCAACTTGTGCTGTCCAGCACACTGGTGCTCTCTTAGGGCTCCTGGAGACCCCTACCCATGAGCAGCCTTTCAAAGGTGCCCTCAGCTGAGGGCTGGTCCTTGCCAGGCTCCCCTTTGGAGGCAGTGCTGTCCCCGGCTGTCTGCAGTGGCACTGTCCCCACCAGGTGCCCTCAGCTGAGGGCTGGTCCTTGCCGGGCTCCCCTTTGGAGGCAGTGCTGTCCCCGGCTGTCTGCAGTGGCACTGTCCCCACCAGGTGCCCTCAGCTGAGGGCTGGTCCTTGCCGGGCTCCCCTTTGGAGGCAGTGCTGTCCCCGGCTGTCTGCAGTGGCACTGTCCCCACCTCCCCTCCTCAGGACCAGGCTGGATCTGAGAGGCAGAGCCCCAGGATGGGTTGGTGGTGCTGCTGGTGTCTCTCTGGCTTTTCCAGCCAGGCCAATCTAGCCAAGAGGATCTGGTGGGGTGGGCTCTGTGCCTCCTGGAGCTTCCCTGTCTTCGGGTGGGGATGGAGTAAATGCTGTCTGCCTTGGGGAAGATCTTGTGACATCCCTATGAAGCAGCCACCAGATCTCAATAGGTCTTTGCATGGTCCTGATGCCCTGTTACAGGGTATGGTGCATCTAAGCTGAGGAGTTGTGCTCAAAATATGTCAGGGCCCTTGTTCAGCCCTGCTGTAGCCTTGCCTGAAGGCACAGGGAGAAGCTGAGTCCGGGACCAAAGGTGTTGCCTACAAGGCACTGGCCTGGGACCAGGTTCCTTGTTCAGGAGGACAGAAGTTTTATGAGGACAAGGCTCTTGGGTTGCATTTCTGGCCTTGGCCCATTCATCTGGCTGAAGGTGCAGTGGGAGAATAGGGAACTTCAGTTGTCAGGAGCTGTGGCTGCCTGCCCAGGATTAGCTCTTATTGGGATGTCTCCTGCTCAGCAGGATTTGGCCACAGTTCTTTGTCTGGTGCCTGTCTGAAACACCTAAGTCTTTTCTTGTCCCACAGCACTGCCCGACGACTTAAGTGACCTGCTGAGGGAGTTCGATGAGGTGATTGAGGACTTTGACAGGGGCCCTGCGTGTCAGTATGAACAGCATTTGGAGGACCTGAAGAGGAAAGCAGGCCACAGCGTGTACGACAGCGGCATCGATGAGCTGGAGAGTGAGTCCAAGGAGACGTGGAGGGGGACAGTTATGTTGTCAGGATGGAATGGCACTGAGAGCACTGGGGTTCTTCTGCGGCAAACCGCTRAACTCATTGCTGAGGCAGCCTTTGAGTTGTCTCTGACTCATCTCTTGTGGGTTGTGAGTAACACTAGGTGTTGTCTCGGAGGGTTGCAGTGACCATTTGAGCTAGTTGYGTTGGCCAGTGCCCGTCCGTGCCTGCTGGCACTTTCTCTGCTGGGCTGGCTGCCCAAGGCTGCAACCAGGCTTGGGATGATTGTTTCCCTCTCAATTTCCCTGTCTCTGTACCAGCCCCAGGGATTCCCCATGGCTGTGCCCAGGGATGCTCTGAGGCCTCTTAGAAAAGCACAGTTCCCCTTTCTCTAGCAAAAGTGCAAATGGGCTGACCAAGAGYGTGGGTGAACTGGGGATCCTCTTCCATGTACAAGCTGGGACGCTGGTCGTGCAACTTGTGCCYTTGGAGAGTGACTGATGCTATGCATCCACAGGCACCAGCACCTCGCCACGAAGCAGTCTAAACTCCAGTGAGGAGGATCTCAATGCTCCTGCTACTACTTACCCCRCTAAAGGTAAGGTTCAAAGGCTGTTTGCCAAAGTCTCCTTAGGGAAGATGTGTGTGTGCTTGGTTTGAGGCTTCCCTAAAGCAATCAGGGAAGTCCCATACCTAGCACCTGAGCTCGCCCCTTCCTGGCTGTAGGTATGCCCGGGGTGCTTTGCAGCATTGGGAGATGTGAGGCCTCTGCTGGGTCCTGCGACAGATATGCRACTGGACTGGCACATTACCAGTGAAGTCCAGGCTGTCCCAGGACCCCACGCAGGGCAGCATCTTGCAGAGATCAGGCAATACAGGAGCTTAAGCCCTGGTTTTCTTCCCACTATGCCCTGATCCGCCTCTAACTTTGCTGCCTTATCTCAAGTGAGTGGGAGGATATGGTCCTGCCTCTTTGTTTTCCCTGATATTCAGCCTGAATTGCCCTTCCCTGTGTTTTCAAGGTGCTGCTCTAAATGATACCTTCGGGGAAGGTATCAGTTGAACTCTGAGCCTGAACAGAGGTTARTAGGGAGGGAGGTGATGCTCCTTCTGAATAGGTCTAGTTCTAGTGGTGGTGGTGATGTCCTGAACCAGGCAGTGCTGAACAACTGCTGTGAAAGRTTGTGCTGCATATCAGCAGTGCCTTCAGTGTCCGATACAAACATGGGCTGTAATTCCATGGACAGATGCATTGGCCCACAGAGGCACTGCGCTCCCAGGCATTTGGCCAGGGTTATTGTAGAGCTGTGCAGCATTCAGCCCGTTGCACAGGCAGTTGTTGCATAACATCCATCCCACACGGAGAAATGTGCGCATGACTTAAAAGCAGGAGGTAGTTTGAGCAATTTTCATCAGAAACAAGGCCAGACACCCTTTTTAACCCARACTAAAGTGGGAGGGGAATGGGAGGTCTGACAGGGTGTCTTTCTGTTCACTAGCTAAGCTTGGAGACACCCAGGAGCTGGAAGAGTTCATTGCAGATCTGGACAAAGCGCTAGAGGGTATGTATACAACCCTGGTCATGACAACCTGGGACAGGCATGAAACAGCCTTCACATCAGTGCAGCTTCTCCAGAGCGGCCTGTGCCGTGGCACTGGTGTTCAGTCAGGGCRTGTGCCATCCCCTCCGTCTCTGGTGCCTGTCGAGCCCAAGTTTGGCCGCATTCTGCTCTTCTCCGTCCTAGGAACTGGCACAGCACAACCCCTGAACTGGGCCTTTGCTGCTTCATCTGGCCCAACACTGTTCACAGTTGGGGTTCCCCCTCCAGAAGGGCTAGACCCTGTTTTTGCAGCCGAGGTGGAATCCCAGTGCCTTAATAAACCCCTCCAGTGCTGGACCCCATYGAGTTGTCATGGTTGCCTGCCATCAAGCTCTTGCCTGGGGAGGAACATTTACTGCTCGAGCATCTTCCTTTCCTTGTACCCTTGTGGCATCAATCCGTGGGGTGGGGAGAGGTGTCAGTACTGCCCTGCTAGAGGTGGTCTGGGTTGTGAAGCCCAGCCTGGCCATGACAGTGAAAAGCTCTGCAGCCTTGTGAGGCTGGATAGTCCCCATATCTTCACAGCTAGAAACTGAGGCATAGAAGCCACCGTTTCACTCCAAAGGGGCTCTGGGTGATAAGCGGGAGGCAGTGAGAACTTCCTTTCCCCTCACCTCCCCACACAGGCTGTGCATGTCACAATGAGTTGACTCTCAGTATTTCTTTTCCCGTCCCTCCTGAGTGTCCAAAATGAGTTGGCTGGTGGGGAAATGTTGCATCTGTGGGTTCTGACTCATACTGGGAGACACTACGAGCCAGAGTCCAAGACAGACAGACATCCAATCCAGGTTTCTCTTCCCACACTCACTGCTAGTCACTCTGGGGGTGGATTTTCACTGTGCTATGCAGCCCCTTGCTGCTCTGCAATGGTCTCACTGTGTGTATCTCATTCCTTGTCCTGCAGAGATGTGAGCTGTACCTTTGGCGGAGAGTTTGGAGAGTATTCGCAGCTGGTGATCCTATAGCCTCCCTGATGAACCTTCTGTTTCTGTGCCTCCTTCTTCCCACTGCCTGTGCAGGCAGCAGCACTTCCATGCCACATGGTCTTACTGTGCACCAGGGAAGAGCCTGCCCGGTGCCAACCACCACCTTCTGGCATAGCCTCAAGCACAAATGTGGACTGATCATCTCAACTGACCAGCCTTTTCCAATCTGCTTTTTCATTTGACTCYTTAACTGGCCCCAAGAGAGTGGGGATGCTGTGTCTGAGTTCCTGAGTACCTCTTTGTGCCAGTCCTTTGGCAGTGTTGGACTTGGGTCTATGGCAGCTTACTGTGATCTGAGCTTGTCCCACCATCAGCCAGAGAATATCACCTTCAAGGGGAAGATGGTATGTGTGGTGGTGGGATTTCTTGCTAAGTTGAACCACAAGCGCTCTTTGGTAAACTGAGACCAAGCTGGATGTCCTGCTTCACTGCTCCAGCTGACTTCTAGGAGCAATGGGAGGTTGCGGGTGCTCCACAGCCACAAAGCAGCTCTGTGCTCAGCACTGTCAGGAGATCTGCTGATGTTTGCTGCCTGGTGACCACTGGCAATGGTATAGATGGCTCTGCTGAAGCTCATGTAAGCCTCTGCTTCCACGGGTAGAGCAGGACTTGGCCAGCCCTGAGATGTGAATAGCTCTTGGTGAGGGGGCAAAGCTCTGCTCTATAAGGGGGCTGGCCAACTGCTGTGGCCCAGTGGACTTGGGAGGTTTCTGCCTCTGATGCCTGCGGGAGAGCCRGGAAGAGCTTGCAGCACTTCACCAGCACCTTGGTCTCCTCTCCTGGTTCAGAAGAGCCTGTTGTAATGGTGGTGTTTGTCTGGACCTTTGCTCTGCCTGGATACCCTCAGATAAGGCCCTTGTCTGGATGCCAAGTGCCTCTGCCCTGACTTGCTGTAAATACTGTAAAAATGGCACTGCACTGTGTACAGATGGTGTATATTTTATGAATAGAAGTTTAAGTCTCTGCACTGGTCTGTCTGTTTTGTCTGGCTTGTCCTGTGCATCCCTTTCCTCTCTGGAACTGCTTGGAGCYGCGGGGCGGGCACCGGGGTGGCAGCAGTGCTGGGGGGAGCAGGAGGAGGGCAGTGGGAAGGGATGCCTGTGCTTGGGCACCGTCTCTGGTGACTGCCATGCAGGGAGGGGTGAGATCTTCTGTGGAAGGGCTTTAGCCCTCRTTAAGCAGCCTTCCTCCACCTGAAGAGCAGGGGTGAAAAGGAATGTGGCAGTGGGAAGTACCAGAACCTGGTGCCAGCCCTCAGTGCTGATCCTGCTGGGAAAGCAGGGCAGAGCAAGGCTGGAGTGCTCAGCAGGAGCTCCAGGAAGGGAACGGGGCTGGTACCCAGCAACTGCAGAAGCTCGGATGTCCCTTTGTGTGGGTCGTGGCTTGGGGACAGCATGGGGAAGCCAGCCAGGGTGTGGGGTGGCCTGGGTGGATGTTACCAGGAGCCCCGTCTTCGTTTCCAGCTGCTGTGGGAGGCAGAACACAGGCCCCTTGYTTCTTCAGGAGGCCAAGAGTGCCTCCACCCAACTCAATATGCCTGTGGATTCTGTGAAGCCTGGGACACTTCCAGGTGCATTTGGTGTTCCCCTACTTCCTCACTGGTCCTGCCAATGGGGACAGGTCCCACACCTGCTGGTGGCTCCTGAGAAGGGGCCTAATGCCCCGTTCTTCAGAGTGGACTGGAGTGTCTGAGGAAAGCTTCTGGTGTCTACACCTTCGTGATGGCAATATGTAGAGGTCATGTTGGGTTGTGCTCCCAAGGACCTTCTCCTAGGCATGGCTGAACCTCTGCAGGGCACCCAGGGTGGCTGTGRGGAGATAATGTCACCTGCAGCATCTCAGGGCTTACACCTTGTGCACTGGGAGACCTGATGCTGTGTGAAGTTTGTTTAGCTACTGTGCTGGTTTACACCATGGCTTGTTTGTGCATCAGGATCAGAGACCCCAGGTTTGGAAGAAACATGTGTAGGCCTGATTCTCTTCTTGAAAGCTACCTGCTTTACCCTAAAAATACATTGCAAGGACTATTTCTTTATTRACTTAAAGGAACAAAAGGCTAGCTAGATCTTTTGCCATACATGCAGGTTAACGTGGTTTTACTGCTGACAGAAAGACTAAGGTGTCTGTGGGAGGTACCATGTACAGATGTTGCTCTTGATGAAGGATGTGTCCTGGGAATGTTTTGTTGGTTGCTGACACTTGTAACAACCCTAGAAACACAAGCTTGGTAGCGGACCTTGCAGCCCTCTGGCTTGTGAAGCCTTGGCAATCATGAGGGGCACTCATGAAGTTCACTTGAAAGAAGTTTCCCCTTCAAAGAAACTGCTCTTGAATGTGTGATGAGCAGGAGGAAATCATGGGGAAAGCATGGAGAGATCCCGCTTGCCGCTTGTCTGGTGACGCTCCCGTGCTTTCCCCGTGACTTCCTTGGGGAGGTGGACAACGCGCGCCGCTGTTGCAAGCGTTGAGCAGGAAATGAGTCAGCTTCAGGCTCTCTCGCACCACTTTGTTCATGAGATATGGTCTCCTTGAGGATGTTGGTCATCTAATCTGCCAACTTGGGGCCCAAAGTCAGCTGAATGGATATTGATGGATGCTTATGCTGCAACCTTGAGTACTCAGGAAGGCAGACAGCCCAGGCTGGAATAAGATTGTGCCTTTCTACGTCTGGCCCTCCTGGACGAGTGCTGTTCTTACAAACTATGGAGGTCAGCTGGCATTTCTGAGTGGTTCTAGACAAGCCCTGGGAATTGTAGGCCACAGTGGGGGCTGTTCTTGTCATCGCTCTGCTTATGTTGCACATACGGGTGCTGATATGCCTCAAAGAGCGGCTGAAAAATGGGGGTGATGATGATGCATCAGGGCTGGGGGAGGTGACGTTCCGTGACGCTTGGCTGAGTGGTGGGACGCAGCCAGAGCACCCCACTCTGTGGGAAGACCCATCTAACATCAAAGGACCCAGGGCAGTGAGAGCAGCTGGGACTGTCCGTGTCTTGCATGGGTGGCTGGTGAGTGGGGGGACCCTAATGTCACTTGGGACATTTTTCCCCGGTGAGTCATTGCACAAAAGTTCCACCTTTGCAGTCTAGCTCCGCATCTGACATTTCTCCCACCCACAGTTGCTTTCCCTCTCTGGGCATCATAAGCTAAGGTCCGACCACGTGTGGGGAATTTGTTTTTAAAAGCGCCCCCAGCCCGGCTGCCAGCCGGGGCTCTGTCGGAGTTGCTGTGATCAACAACACGGGAACCGCCGCTTCCTGTTGCAGGAACCGCAGCGCTTGCCTTCCTAGGAGGCAGTTTGCCAGACCCCGTCCCCACAAGACGTCTGAAAATGTTGCTAAGCAGCTACATGTATAAGCACACGCAAACCCCGACACGTGCTGTGGTGATACAACCCTGCGGCAAAAGAAACAGACCCAAGGACATGCGGTGGGGATTGTTTGTTGTGCGCATCACCAGGAGACGACTTTGGTTTGCACTTGGCTCTATCGGTTGGCCCTTGAGAGCTGTGGACCACATCGCTGTTGCCCATGCTGCAAGGCCAAACTGTTCCAAGAACTCTGGGATCCTTCCCAGGGTTTGTGCTCCCTCCAGGGCCTGTGACATGCTCAGCAGTGCCTGCTCAGCAAAGGCCAGGCAGAAGGAAGGAATAGCTGTGGGCAGAAAAAGACAACACAAGCACTGGTGCCACGTGTGTTTCTCAGTATAGTGTTGGTGGCTCATGTTCATTGTGTTGGTCCAGCAGCATCCAGGAGGTGTAACACATCATGAAAACCCAGCCATAGTCAAGGATTCCATTAATCCTCGTGCAGCTCAACCTCTGCACCCATTCCAAGCCATTCTACATCTGGAAGCTACTGCTCCAAGATGAGCAGCTCTCACCCTGCACCCTGGAGTCTCTATCCCATCTCCTCTGTCGGGACAGGGTATCATGGAGCTAACACCAGCACCAGGAAAACTCGTGATTGCGTCCAGCCTAACCCATGCTCACAGACATCACCRCCAGCTGCCACCAGTTTGGGGTGCAGATGTGTCCTCTGTGCTGCTAAGGGCTCAGTGGTCTGACCCTCCTGTTCTGAGACCTACAGGCACGGTCTCTCTCTCAGCTTCTCCACCAGGATGGCAGTGGAGGTTGTCTCCTGGGGACCTTTCTTCGAGGAGTCCTTTTGGGTGACAAATGGTGGGGAGGCATTGATGAGGGGAGAGAGAAGAGGACAATGAATAAAGAAATAGGGTTACCTAAGGACTGGCGAGCCTGGGAGGGCTGTTGCCTTAGAGCCACCTTCCAGTAAGCAGCTTAGAAGAGCAGAGAAGGGCTGAGGCTGAAGAGGCAGCTAGAGGAGAGTCAGCTGTCCCTTTCGCGTGTTTGTGGTGGGGATGCTGCAAAAATAATCAGTGCTAACRAGCACGGCCTGAGATGTGTCACTTCCACCCTCGAGCTAGTCTGGAGGAGACTTGGACCGGGGCCAGTGAGCCCCGGGAGTAGTGAGGCTGAGCTGCGCTTTGTGTGGAGCTCTGCAAAGGGCACCCAGAGCTGCCCTGGGCCTACCAGGATAGGGCTTCATGCTCCATAAGGCCTGAGGCAGTACGAGCAGAGGATGCTGGAGGCGCACGGCATGGTGAGCCTTGGAGCAGCCCTGGTGGGTGTCACTTGGCATCCAGTGCAGCCTGGATGTTATGCCATGAACAGCAGGTGACTAGCCCAGCCAGATGGGACTGAAGGCACCATGTCCTGGTCCCAGAATGACCAAAAGTGGTGAGAGATCTCTCCCCTCCAGATCAGTGACAGGATGTGAAGAGGGGCAGGTGGCCTGGTAGAGGGCAAATTGGGGCTCTCAAGGCTCCCGGGGTGCCAACCCCACTCTAGTCCTTCTCATGGTCCTCCGGTCCAGTCCTCCTGCATTCCACTCYGCTCCAGTCCTCCTGCATGGGCTGCAGAGGACAGGGCAAGCGGTAGCCCCGTCCTGCTGGAGCCGGCCGGTGAGGAGCCCAGCCCCAGTAGACCTGCGTGCAGAGCAGGCGCGCGGTGCCCGTGCAGGCCGCAGGTGCCGYCGGCCCACGTGCTCGCTGCGCCGTGGGGCTGCCGCTTGCTTTCTTAGAAGCAAGAGCAGCGTGTGCCGGATTGCCAGCGGGCGGGAAGTGGCTAACCAGAACCCAGCAGTCGCACAGGCCTCCAACCTGTGCCCTTTTTTCTCCTAYGAGCCCAGGTGCAAACTCAGCCTTCGAGATAACGCAGTGTTTATTTGCAAGTAGAGCAGGCGCTACCATGTTGTTGAGCTGAGGGCATCTGGCTCTGGCAGCAGGGCCAGGACCGAGAGGAGCAGAGGTGCTGGAGTCCTGGACACACCAACAGCTGGGCCAGGGTGCAGGGATGGGGACTGAGCAGAGGCGGCCTGTAGCCCCATGTGGGCTGGCTGGAGATGAGCCACCTCCTCCCCTTGCAGCACACAGGGCATCCAGAAACCTCTCCGGCAGCCCTGCAGCTAAAATAAGGCCACCTTTCCGGCCCATGTGGAGGAAGGAAGGCGGCACACAGATGTCAGCCTGGAGGCCAGCACAGGGGCATGTGCTCCTTTCAGCAGCTCTGATATCTCCAAGAAGTCGTTCCCG